GGGGGGGGAGTGTGGGTGTCGCAAAAGGTCGCACTTCAGCCCCGCGCTGTCAGCTGTTAGCGAGCTTTGGGCGCCGGCAAAGCGGAGTTTGAGCAGCAGAGCAAGGAGGCGCAACCCCGACGAATTACAGCCGCCCCCTTGGTCCTCTTTTACCCGCCGCACCCCTCTCCCAGGCCGCAGATCAACGCAGATCCCCCGCCGCCGCTGTGGGTGGGTCGGAGCTTGAATGGTGCTGCGATCGGCTCAGCGGGTGGCTCGTGACAATGCCTCTTTTTCTTTCCCAATTGCGCCCCTACCAAAGACAAGAACCAGACCTTTGGGCTCTTGGCTGCGCTTGGCTGCGCTTGGCTATGAGTTTGGCTGCGGGCTTGCAAATGGACATGTGTAGTTCGGGCGTTGAATGTGGCCCGCGTTGGCAAGTTTGTTGAGTCTGCTGCCTCCGCCTAACGTTCGAGTCCCGCCCCACTGTTGAGTCCCGCTCAAGGATGTTGGCCTCCGCGGTTCCCGACCAAGCCGTGCTTTCGGGTCAGCCTTGGCAGCGCTATGCCAGCTCATGCTTACACCATGTGAAAACCATGTTGATATTGCTGACTCGAGCATGGATTGCCGTCCATCACCGATCATGCCGTGTATGCAGTGTATGCAATGTAAGGAGGTGTTTGGCCGCCGACTTCTCTTTGCTCCGTCGGCCACCACTTGCTCATTTCATGCCCTGCTGGATCTCCTTGCATTGGGTGAGATTTTAGCCAAGCCGCATCGGGGATCGCTTACTGGCTCTTCAAGGTTCGACGCTTCGTTCGGCTCGCTTGGGCGGCCAGGCGAATGCAACCCATCCACCCACCCACACTAGGCGAGACGGAAACCTTCGCGCGCGCGCTTGCCCAGACCCTTGGGCGCCGGCCGCAACGCCGATCGACGCTCGGGTGCCTGAACTCGCCCGCAACGCCACGCTTTGCCGCTCCCATCTCGCTTGCAAAGAAACTCGACTAGCCGCACAATACGCCTGTTTTTCCTGGGTGCATCAGCCCACATTGGCGAGCTTGGTGCGTGCATCTTTGCCCAGAGCGTGCGCTGTTGGCTCGATGCGGAAAGCGCAGGGACTGTCGCCATTGGCTGTCGTCGGGGCGGTGAGGTGGAAGACAGGGGCTGAAGATTCGCATCCAAGAGTTTGTGGGCCCGGCTTTGCATTGCATATGCCGCTGCGTTGGCCGCCACGCCAAAGCGACGGCGCCCGACGACGCGGCCTTACTTCGCTTCAGAGATGCCGTTGGCGGAGGATCCAAATCCGGGCAGCCGCTTCTTATTATAATGCCAGCCCAAAAAATATGCGACGTGGAGTCCGACGCGAGCACCAGACGTGGCGATTTGTTAGACCGTTGTTCATCCAACTTGTTTGCCCTTTTTGCCATCGCCGATGTGCGCGAGTGGATGGGGCCGATCCGATGAATTGCGCATCGATAACCAGAGGCGCGCCAGGCACCAACTCGCCGAACTCGGCCTGGCTCTCAGCTTCAACTCCAGCCTCCCATCAAGCCGAGCGGAATGCCATGCCGCCTTGCTGCTAATTTATCACAGCTGGATCGGGTCGTCTGCTGTCGTCGCTACGCTGTACTGCTTTCACGGCGGTGAGCTACGAGGCGGGTCGATTGAGAGTCCAAGGGATCGCCGATTTGGAGGAGTGCGTGTCGAGCGAGTGTCCACGTTCTGCTCCTTGCAACAAGCGCCAAACTGATAGCGGCGATATTCGGAACGCGATTCGAATCTTTTTGGTCGCCAGTCAGCCAGCGCGTGCGCTCGAGAGCGAGAGCAATTCAAACCCGGCCATCGCGCTTGTAATCGGGCGAAGTTTTGGAGGAAGCCAAAAAATTTGCCGGCCGTTGGCGAGTGCTGTCGTCGATTGGGACTGCTTCGAATCTGCGTGGGGGCGCAACGAGCGGAGAGCGACGGCGTCATTCCCAATCGACACACGCAGCTCGAAATTCATCGCGAAGTTCAGCTGGGCTCGGCTTCCCGGTCTGCTCCTCAGCTCGAGCTCACTCGGCGCGCACCCAGGCACTCGGCCACTCTACGCTCAGGGCGCGCAGTCGAGGCCGAATTTGCAAGACATGAGCAGCGGCCCCCACCATCTCTGTCTTCATCCACCAACACCACCTCTCCCCTTTTTCTTGGTTCTTCGCAAAATGGCCACCTTCACCGAACGCTTCACCAAGGGTGCCTTCCCCGTCCACTCGGTCGCCGAGGCCGTCAAGCCCGGCCCGCAGGGTGTGGACCTCTACTCGCGATTCTTCCTCGCCGGTGCGCTCTGCTGGTGAGTCTCAACAACACGCTGGATTGATACGCAAAGTTGCGATACTGATTGTGGCCTTTTCTTTTTTCCGGCGCGTGAACAGCTCCATCACCCACGGTGCCGTGACTCCCATCGATGTGGTCAAGACGCGCATCCAGCTGGAGCCCACCGTGTACAACAAGGGCATGATCGGCGGCTTCCGTCAGGTGGTCGCCAAGGAGGGTGCTGGCGCCCTTCTCACCGGTCTCGGCCCCACCGTCCTCGGCTACTTCCTCCAGGGCGGTTTCAAGTTTGGCGGTTACGAGCTCTTCAAGAAGGTCATTGTCTCGCAGATGGACAACGAGACGGCCGTCAACAACCGCATGGCCATCTACCTCGGTGCCTCTGCCATTGCCGAGTTCTTCGCCGACATTGCCCTCTGCCCTCTCGAGGCCACGCGTATCCGCCTGGTGTCGCAGCCCACCTTTGCCAACGGTCTCGCTCCCGCCTTCCTCAAGATCGCCCGCGAGGAGGGTCTCGGTGGCTTCTACGCCGGCTTTGGTCCCATCCTCTTCAAGCAGATCCCTTACAACATGGCCAAGTTCGCCACCATGGAGGTCGTCCTCGAGAAGGCCGTCCAGGCGTACGGCAAGCCCAAGTCGGAGCTCTCGGGTGGCGAGGCTACCATGCTCAACCTCGGCTCGGGTCTGATCGCCGGTTTCGCCGCCGCCACCATCTCGCAGCCCGCCGACACGCTGCTCTCCAAGATCAACAAGCAGAAGGCTCTGCCTGGCGAGACCATCACCGGCCGCATCACCAAGATGGCCGGCGAGCTCGGCGTGCGTGGCCTCTTTGGCGGTCTCACCACGCGTCTCGTCATGGTCGGCTCCATCACCGCCGGTCAGTTCGCCATCTACGGCCAGCTCAAGAGCGCTCTCGGTGCCACCAACACCGTCGAGATCTCCAAGGCCGCCTAAACTTTTTCCCCGTGGCACACGGATAGACTTTGCGCCTCCCACACACACACACACACACACA